TAGGATGGACTAATAACCTGCAAAGTTGCACTTAAATTGTTGCTTAAAAGCTTTTGAGTTTTTAGCATCAAGGGCTATAGAAGAGCCTCAAGAAAGTGCCCTCGTGTCCTTTTGAGATTTTTTTTTTCTTCCTGCTACTTCAATAGTCCTCTTTAAACTGCTCTGCATTATAATTATAAGGTTTCAGAAAGTGTACGTGATTGTTAGAAGTGACCAGTGGTTCGATAGACAATGGAGTATTGGGGTCTGAGAGTTAAGGAAAGCAGTCATTGGCAGCTATCATGAAAAGCAATTTAGATGGATGAAGGGTGGGGAAGGTGAGTTGCAAAGGCCCTGGTGTGGAGCTGGCAGAGATCTCTTCTGGACTTGGGCTGGAAGTCGTACACTGTCTTCTCTTCTGTCATTACGAAAATAGACAAAAGCTGTGAAAAAGCTTGGTGGCTTATTTTGGAGAAGTAGTGGGGATTTTGGGATACAGAACCTTACATGAACCTCGTTCCTCCTGAGTGCCTGAGTGTGCTGCGCTTACTGCTTTTGTCCAGCTTTTTGCTCAAGTTTGTGGAGGATAACTAAGCTTCGGGGCTGATCCCCAGCTCCCAGTGGCTGATGACACATCACTGCTAGAAAACCAGGACCCAATTTCAACTGAATGCCACCTTTGGAGAGGATCTCCTGCTGTGCCTTGGGACCTTAAAACAACAAAAGCACTTCTGAAAGTGCATTCATCCAGCCACCTGTAATAATTTTGGTGCTAGCTTTCCTTCCTGTCCTGAAGCTTGATGTAAAGAAAGTTGCCAGAGGTTAAATATGACTAGTAGAGCTGGCGTGACAGGACTGTGCAGAGTGGTTTTGAGGTCAGTATATTAAAAGCTGTATGTGTTCTGCCCTGCAGCGGTGGTGTAATAACTTCTGGTGTCAGGAGTGGGGAGGAAAAACAGGATTTCCAGGAGGCAGTTTGTTTCAGAGAAACTATCTCCTTTCTTGATTTTCCCCTCACTTTGTAAAATCCTACTGTGTGATGTGACTGTCCAATGGGTTTTCATCTTATGCTGCCTATATGCATGAATATTCAATTATTAAACGTGAACAGCATGCTTCTGCCCTGCCCTTTCAGCCTTACCCCCCACTCTCTACACAGTGGGTCCAGCGATAAAGAAACAGCTCTTTGGTACATGTGAAATTTCTTAAACTAGGATAAAACAATTACTGACCTTTAATGCTTATTGTTATGTATCTTGTTACTAATTAACTGATCTTCAGAGACTGAGACTAAGCTACAACTTTCCTTCCAGAAGTCTTGGTGTATCATCAGTTTGAAGAAGATAGCGCTTGAATTTGTCACACCATGTGTGTTGTGAGGGATATTTTGCTGACACATGGACTGTTATGCCTGACCCCTCCTTTTGAAGGGATGCTGCATCCCCCAAGCTGCTTCTGCAAGTTCTTGTCAGTCTCTTGCTTAAATAAAATTTAAGTGGCAAGTATGTTAATGAATGGCATCATCACTGTGTGCAGGCATTTCACAGTATACTTTCTTGCAAAGGTAATTTGTGCTATAAGCCACATATGGGCCAGGATTCGGTGCTTTTAATCAGGCTGAGCAATGTCTTCGTTTGTGAACACTTCTGTTAAATAAAGTGAGATTGCTCACAGGGTAGATGCAATTCAGCATGAATAAGAGCTTCTGGAGCTGGCCCTTATTTATGAGTCAGTTGAGTAATTCTGCCTGGAATTAACATCTATGGATGCTGTAGGTGCACACATCAGAGAATCAATGTGTTGCTGCCTCATCAATGTTTGTGGTAGCTGGAGCCTTGCGTCTTTTAAACATGTTGTCAGGGAGGCATTTTGTCATGACTTCTAAGAGACTTTCTCATGCTAAACACCACTAAGAACTGGGAGAAATTCTGGTGCCACCTTTTATGAACATATATGCTGTAAATGTTTGATTAACATTTAAGCTAATCAGCTATTTTTAGATGTTGCTTAGGGATACTGTGGTTCATGTGAGAATCTCCTTTTGATAGTGCAGAGGTGAGATGCGATGGCTGGTTAACAAATCCAGGTTCTACAACAGCCTGATCAAGGAAATCTCTGAGCCCATTGGCTGGGCAGAATTGTTGACCTGGAGAAGCCATGTCTTGCTTCCCGCTGCCTGATAACCATAATTGTGTAAGTCATAGAATCATAGAATCACTTTGGTTGGAAAAGACCTTTAAGATCATTGAGTCCAACCTTTAACCTAACCCTGCCATCCCACCACTAAACCATGTCCCTAACCACCTCATCTATCCTTCTTTTAAATACCTCCAGGGATGAGGACTCGACCACCTCCCTGGGCAGCCCATTCCCGAGCCTGACAACCCTTTCGGTGAAGAAGTTTTTCCTAATGTCTAGCCTAAACCTGCCCTGGCACAACTTCAAACCGTTCCCCCTCATCCTATCGCCCATTACCAGGGAGAAGAGGCTGACCCCCACCTGGCTAACCCCTCCTGCCAGGCAGTTGTAGAGGGCGATTAAGGTGTCCCCTCAGTCTCCTCTTCTCCAGACTAAACAACCCCAGTTCCCTCAGCTGCTCCTCGTAAGACTTGTGCTCCAGACCCCTCCCCAGCTTTGTTGCTCTCCTCTGGACCTGTTCCAGCAATGCAACATCTTTCTTGTAGTGAGGGGCCCAAAACTGAACACAGTATTCAAGGTGTGGCCTCACCAGCACCGAGTATGGGGGCACGATCACCTCCCTGCTCCTGCTGGTCACACTATTCCTGATACAAGCCAGGATGCCATTGGCCTTCTTGGCCACCTGGGAACACTGCTGGCTCATATTCAGCCGGCTGTCTTTGCACACCCTGATGTTAAATTTAGCCCAGTGTTAGTGAGCTACTGGATTCGCTATTGTTTTGACTCAGGTAATTGAACTACTGATTTGTATTTGCTATTAAACTGTTGTGGTGAGATAAATTGCTTATCCCTATGACTGTTGGTCTTTTACGAGATCCTGTAACTCAGTTGGACTGCCTTAAGCCCCTACAAGTGCCTGTAACGATTATGCAGCCACAGCTGGAAGAACTTTCCATCATACCAGAGTTATTTAGGCCTTAAATGAGAGTTACATCTGATGGGAAAAAGTTAGCCCAACAGTGAAGTGAGGCACTAGAAAGCTCTTGAAACAGTGTTTCTGTCCCAATAAAAGTAATTATTGTGCATTAGACAGTAATGGCTCAAGTGTTCAGCAATGACTTTGCTCAGCTGAGTAATAGCTTGTTATCCTTCTGAGCATGGTGTGATCTGCAAATAGATCAGCCCTTGCTCCACAGGCTGGAAGTTTGGTGCTTCTCAGAGGGGTTTGACACTTTGGCATATCAAATTATTTTTGAGTAGTACATCTTGAGTGTTTCTCCTAAGCGCTGAAGTGTAATAAAATTGATGGACATTGTGCTTTTCATATACTGCTTTATTCTGTTTTATGATCGCTATTCATTTCTACACAATTGACTAGAGGCTGACAAGAACTATGCAGCATTTAAACTACTAAAAAACAGAAGGCTTAGCTCCATTTTCGGTGTGGACAATCAAATTGAATTGATTGTACTTAAGAGAGTAGAGATGAGTTTTTTCAAGTGGTTTGTATTTTACAGACATGTTTTCTGCTGGGGTTGTTTTCTACTCTTCCATCCACTTTAGGGAACTGATGTAATCTTACTCAGTTGGGAAGGAACTGAAAAGATCACTACAAACAAACTTTACCTTGGATTAAAAAAATAGAAATTGGAGGTGTGGGAAGCGCCAATGGAAGAAAAAGGTGTTCCCTGATGCTGCATTCCAGCTCCTTGGAATTTCACCAATTAAATTTTTTTTTTTTTAAGGATCTGGCATGAAAACCACTTTGACTTTATTGTTCAGCCTCATGATGAATGGCTGTGTAGGCCGTGTACTGCTGAATAGCTTATCAGAGGGGGCTTTAATTTGATTGTCCTTTTTAGGCAGGCTTTTGGTGGCGGAGAGAGTGAATAATGGCTGATCTTTATTTTCCTTTGTTTCAAGCATGTTAACGGTCCACTCCACTGCGGTACGGTGTGCGTATTTCACTGTAAGCTTGCCAAGATAACCTTGCATTCTGCACAGCCAAACACAGCTGTACACCAATATTGTATTTTTTTTTATACCTTTCCTTACTGTAACTCTGTGTTATGTGTCTGAAGGGTTAGCAAGCAGAAGTGCTTCTGCAGGGAGAGGGACTCACTGGAAAGGAACTTTTTCTTTTATGAAGGCTACCATTAGTGTAGACTACTAAACTTAAGCTAATGTACCTGTGTGTGTTAAATGTAGCAGTTTTTCCCCTACAAGTAGTATAATTGTTTGTAAGCAGAGCTGCTCCGCCAGTTCTTCTGATTTTCCCACTGAGTGCTTTTTATTAGTTTCTCTTAACTTCAACTAATACTTTTACCAAAAAAAAAAAGCACTAAAAAAAAAATAATCCAGAATTCTAAAGTACTGGTTAAGGAGGCTGAGAAGAGCAGGTAGTATTAGAGCTTAAAGGCTGAAAAGTATCCAAGAAATAGCTCCTTTCCACAAAGGAATGTTTATGGTTGGTTGGTTGGTTGTTCGGGGTTTTTTTTTGTTTTGGTTTGTTTGTTTGTTTGTTCTTCCCCCCCCAATATCTAAATGTTCATTTTGGCAGCAGCAGAGAACCTGAAATTTTGGCTGTTGCAGTGGTTTTTTTTTTTCTTTGTTTTAAATAAAAATGTCTTAATCTGCTTATTAGGAATGACTAAAGAGAAATAAACTCCCGTAATAGGAAGTGGGAAGGGAGGGTGTGGAGGCAATTGTAGGAATTCCATGGTACATACTTGAGAGAACTGGAGGTTATAACCAGCTACCAGACAGAGACACATCCATAGCAGAAACAGCCTTTTTTGTTGTTCTTCGAAAACTAAATGGGCTTCACTGTCCCAGCAAGGCAACTTGAGAGAGCTGTGCCCTTAACTGCTTTTGTTTCTTAGCTTTTGAAGATGCTGACAGTGCTGTGGATGATCGAGATAGTGACTACCGCAGCGAGACGAGCAACAGCATCCCTCCTCCCTACCACACCACCGCGCAGCCCAATGCCTCTGTGCACCAGTTCACTGTGCCATCGCGCCTGCAGCAGCAAGGGGCCGTGCGGGAATCCTGTGCTGACTCCCTGCAAAATTATGATCTGGATTATCGGGATCAGGTGGCCATCAGGTGGGTGCTGTCTTCTGGGTGGCTCTTCTTTTCCCGTTGATTTTCCTTAGTAGACACTGAAGGTGCCATGCTAGCCGAGGAGGGCAGCTCAGCGGCTCTGAGAGGTTTCTTGTAGGAAGGTGTTACACGTTTTGCTAACACCGGGACTCTGCTGTGAACCAGGAAAAATAAGGCTATGTGTTACACTAGATCTGTCAGTTTAGTGAATTACCTTTTAAAGATATGCTCAACACTCAGGTCATTTATTCTTGTTTCTACTTCCATCTTACCTTCTGAAGGCCAGAGCACTGGGTAATTGCTTGTTCTGGTGGCATTGCACGGGTGTGCCTCCCAAGGGCAGTGAAAGACAATCTAGCAGAGTTACCCTGTTGGGAGTTTCTTGGGTCAGATTTATTTTCTGTTTCACTTTAGCTCCTGTTCTTCCATAGCTCTTCCAAAACAGCATATTCAAGAAGAAAGTCTGTAACCAATTAGGTGGTTTTTTTTTTTCCTTTTCAGTTGTCATGTAGCGCTGTTGAATAGTGTATTTTCTCTTTTGATTTCCTTTTAGCTGTATGAAGGATAGTTTATTTGCTCTAAATTAGCTTTTTGATCATAAATCAGTAGTTTCACAACTGCTTCTATATTTTTTAGGTATTAAGCATTACAGCATTAACTTACCAGAATCAGTGGCTGTGAACTAGAGCTGGTTGTGCTGGGGTGTGTAGAAACTCTGCAAAACCACTGTTCCAAAGAAAGGATGAGTTAAGTGTAAGGGGAGATCAGAACTTAAGACAGTGCTGGTCAGCTTGGTAAGAGTGGGTGTGTGGAACGGGCCATGTTGCTGCTTCTGCCTTCGGTGTGGAAGAAAGAGGCAGTTGCTTAAATTTTGTCACAGTTAGAGGTGCAGGGGTTTATATTTATTATAACTGATTTGTTCTACCTCATCCCTCTTGGTAAGAATGTTCTTGTTTCCTAAAGCCTGAACTGAATTCAGTTGCCCTTATGGGTGTATGGCTGAGGCGAATTTTTGCTCTTTTTGCCTTATGAACTTTAACAGTAAAAGCTGAAGTTTAATGATAACATTTAATGTTGTTACTGTTATTGAGGCTTCAAGCAGCAGAGACAATTGTGCCAACAAAATCCATTTACTGCACTGTGACATGTCATTTAGTGCTCTTTTCCTAGTCTAGTAAATGTCTTACATAAGCAAGTTACTCCCTTTCCCATGCTGTTCTGTACTGCTGGTCTGCAGTGGTAAAACTGCCAAAGACCTTACTGAGAGCTGGGGAAGATAAGCTGAAGCTTTTTCTTTATGGAGGAGCCAAGCTGAACAGTGGTACTGGGCCCCCAGCCTGGGGAAGCCAGTGTTATGGCAGTTATGATAACTGGATGTTTTCGCAGTTATCTGACTTCTTGGGGTGGTGTTGGCAGTACAAGGATACGTGGCTCACCTTGCTTGGAGGCAGGGGGTGCGTGAACTTTTAACGGTGTCTAATGGATAAATGTGTTTATAAGACCTTCCAGAAAAGCACTTCTGGTTTGAGTTGTTAAAGAATACAAAGATGGAATATGTATATTTTTTCTGGTTTCCTGAAGGTATTGGTATAAAAGGATCTGGACTGATAAAGTTCACTTAAAACCTAAGAGCTTTGTAGTCTGCTCTGGTCTAAAATTATTCCCACTCCAGGGAGGCAATTCCTAGATGGTGACTGATTCCCTCTGAGCATTCCTGTTCCCCTGTGCATTTTCCACATGCCCAGCAAGATTTTTTGCTACATATTTAGTCTTAAAAGTTAGGAAATGCAAATATGCTTTCCAAAGCAGCTATGTGGGATTCTCTTTCTTACCAGAAAGGTAGTTCTAACAAGAGCTGGCTGAAAAGAAGCATACAGGTAGCTCTTAAAATATTTTCAAAACACAGCAGTAGCTGAGTATTGCAAAAGCAAACTGTGTTTGACTTTTGCTCCTAGCAGCTCTTAAGTGCCGTGGACCAGGCAGCCACCCAGTGAAATTGGTGTTCCTGGCAGACTGCAGCTGGTGATTGCTGAGGAAATGACAGCTTGTAGGAGGCTGTCCTGGGCAGACCCGGAGGAACCAGACAGGGTTCTGCTAGAACTTGTCTTGAATTTGGCAAAAAGTTGTTTATGCTAAAATGCTTCAATTGAAACTGGCTATTCTAACACCTGGGTTTTTTTCTAACAACATTTAGGTTTGGCTGGAAAAGTTCTGATCCCCTTTATCAGCTGTTATGCATGATTGTATTCCTTTGATAGAAGTACATGTGTTTTATTCCCCCCTCTCCTAAGGTTGACAAGTATTATTCTTATTTGTCCTTGGACCGTGTTTTGCTGCCAACAGCCAGTTTGACTTCAGAATAGCAGACATCTTCCACTCGGATTTTTTTTTTTTTTTTTTTTTTAAAAGCACTAACTTTTCTTTGCAGTGTTCATTTTGTGTAACCATGTGTCCTCCATGTCTCCCTGCTCTTGCTCTATTTACTTCCAAGGCGATATGATAGCATAGATTCCACTGTGAGTGGCCGAACTGACCTAGAGTCCGCATCTGAGTCTAGTCAAATGACAAGCCGCCAGTGCTTGCTAGAGAGCGGGTGCTCTCTAGATCTGTCTGATAGGTGGGTTAACCTCTTTGCAGCCTCTGTGCCTCCTTGCTGTTGCTGCATGGTCTTGTGTGGTACATTTCAGCTGATACTCGCTGTTCGCCTTGTCTGTATTTCAGATGTGCGGTAGTTTAATGCTGGGCTGATGTTGTCATCTTTTTCTCCTCTCAGATGTTGGAATTCTTGTCATTGCTTTATTTCTAGTAAAAGGAATGCTTTGTAGAATAGCAGGGGAAACACGGGGCGGGGGGGGGAGCTCAACTAGAAAGAAAAGTAATTTACTTTATGCCTAAATTAGTCAATTGTTGGTTCAGCATTTACAGCTAATGGCTCTTCAGGCATTCATGTACCTCCCATTGCTTTCAGCTGGGATTTGGAAGGGCTTGATCCAGTAACTATGGTTGCCCTGGGAGTCTTTTAAATTTCATTAGCTTTTTTAAGAAAATTATTTCAGTTACTGGCTTAAAAGTGCAAGCAAAGTGTGTAGTAAATGTTCTAAACTGTGTACAGCAGGGCTCATTTAAAGCAATGAGTATCTTTCCAATAACCTAAGTTAGCTAATGCTGGTAGAAATGAAGCACAAAACCAGCAGTAGTGAAAATGCAATGACCTATTTCTCTTTCAGGTCTGTCCCATCAGTAGCCTACACTGGGGTGCCCCAGGGCACTCTCAAGGTGAAGACTCTTGTGTTAGCAGTATCCATACAATGCCCGTGTGTCCTCTGCCCTTTCCCTTCTCTTGCCCTGCTCTTATGGGGTCAGGGTATGTGTGCCCTCATGCTCCTTAGTTCTCAACGATGAATGATGTGAGACAAAGCTGCAGTGCATCTTCCAGATGAGCATCTTGATTTTTTTGATGTCCACTTTCTACTTGTTTATTTTTATGTAGGCTGGCAGGAACTCTTCCTGTGAGATTTGGATAAAGAGGAAGCTTTCTTGCTACTAGCCTTCAGGTTGCTCAGCAGTTGAGATAATCCTTCTGATCAAGGGCTAGGAATTAATCCCAAAATCCCAAGGGTCATTCACTTGTGTTTCTAGGAAGCTTCAGACTGTTTGATAGCAAAACACGAGCTGCTTTAATCCATTCTCCCACAATGGACAAGTATGGATTGCTGGATCTCTTTAGATGCATTATAAATGGGAAGTACAAATCCTGAAAAGCATCTCACGCTTATGATGGGCTAATTTCCATCGCCAATGTTTTGTTTTGCCTTCTGATCCAGTAACACCTCCACGGATCACAAGATTTTGTGTTGGTGGAAGCCCCCTGAGGGCATTAGCTGCAGTGAGAGCCCTCCCAGCAAAGAGGAGTGGTGGAGTAGCTGGAATTCCTTGTGTTGATGGTGTTCACAGGTTGCATTTTGTCCCCTGTCCCCACTTCCCTGGAGTCCAATGGCTCCTGAGTCTCTGTGTACAGTCTCGACTCTGTAGCCACCCTTGGGAGCAATGAGGTGCCGGTGTGCTTTATGAATACTGCTAAAACAAAGTCTGCAGCCTCGAGTGACCGAAATGCATGCATAACATAGTGGAATGGTGTGTGTGGGCACTGCATCTCAAAAGTAGTCCTGTTACTGTAATAAATGACTTTTTTCGGCATGCCTAAAAAAGTAACAGCAGAGTACTGGTACAGCCAAGGCTGTGTGCCCTCACTTGATCACAAAAAGCTGTTCTCCTTCAAACAGGCATTTCTAAATTTTGTGCAACTGTAAGCGGTGGAATATCATAACCCATGCTGCTTTTTTTGACTATTTGATTGAAATGTAATGGTGGTAGATTGGCAGGTTTTCAGTTTTGTTATCTCTGTATGTTTCTTATTTTAATTTTCCTTTATTTAATGCACTGTTTTTTCTGTCCTTTCTAGAGCTTTTTTTAAAACTGTTCTTTTCCCCTTCCTGTTTTTTTTGCTGCCTCTCTTCCTTTCCCTCCCACCCCCTTTATTTCTCATCTTAGACAAGGATCTCTAGCTAGAAATGAAAGAGTCAGGATCATTCCATTTAACTCTGAAGATGGAGAAGAAGAACAGGAGGGTAACTATGAAGAGCTAGGAAAACTTCTAATAGAGGAATTCTTAGAAAAAAGTCATAAAACTAGAAGCTGGCAGGAAACAAACATAAAAAAGATGCAAACTCTCTCAAAAAGAGAAAATTTCAATCACCGTGAAAGATCAAGGTGCTGCCAAAATGTGTGTGTGGAGTCAGGGTGTGTAGATGTCCCTAGGTACCCTCAGGAATATGATACAATAGATAGGAGAAGGAAAAAGAAGCTGCGATACAATTTCGAAGAGAGTGAACAAATAAGCCTGCAAAGTAATGAAGGTCTGCAGTTTCCCAGGGACAAAAGGCTTTATTTCAATGGTGTGGCAACTAATTCTGAACCTAGTGATGACTTCCCAGTGTATGAGA